AGCTAGCTATGCATTATGCTTGATTTTAAGAGGAAGTGCGTGACTTGTTTTCAACAACAAAAATTTTAAAAAGGAAACAAAATTACGAATGACTCAATTTTGGTTCAATTCCATTGAAAATGTAAGTGGTCATATGTTTTATTTTTAATCTTGTGATTTTTCTTTTACTAAAATGGGGTGCTTGTCAAATTCGGAGATGGGTTTTTATTCTAATTTTAAGATGAAAAAAACCTGGCGCATGTTTTACTGAAGGGTGAGTGCTGGTACTTGAGTAAATATGGCTTTACAGTTATACCTTTCTAACTTAGAAACACCTTAATTCAAAAATATCCCTGTGTCAATTTTGTTGTTGCTTCAACCTGAAACCCCTTTGAGAACACTTCAATCTGAATCTCTCCTTGCCGAAGTCTTTTCCCCGTGAAACCTCTTCAACTCGAATTCATCGAAGCCTTTGTCTTATTTCTAGGGACCACGAAAATTGAATATCAATAAAAATGTAGCTTAATGCTTTTTCAACAGGAAGTGAGTGACATCATTATCAAACTAACCAATTTTGGGTTTTTAAACGAGTTTCAACTTGACAATTTATTGATCAGCTGGACATTCATGCTCGAATCTCAACTCTTTGGAGGCTAGATTTACGACTAACATCATTAAATCAGTTGGCCTTGTTGGGTGAGGTGACACAAAAACCGGTTTTTTATTTACGCATTCCATCGGGTATTCATTTCGAATTATGCAATTACAGAAGTATAAAAAAATGTACTAGATGCTGCATGATCAAGCGTGTGTTTAATTCTATACAATACACAATACAGTAACGTATATTTCCTACATCAAGTATTTTGGAGATAATGAAAAGTCCCTTGGAAAAATAAAGTAAAAATAACTTACTGGCGTAATTGTATGAATTTTATGGAAACAATGTTTTTATTCTAATTTTAAGATGAAAAAAACCTGGCGCATGTTTTACTGAAGGGTGAGTGCTGGTACTTGAGTAAATATGGCTTTACAGTTATACCTTTCTAACTTAGAAACACCTTAATTCAAAAACATCCCTGGGTCAATTTTGTTGTTGTTTCAACCGGAAACCCCTTTGAGAACACTTCAATCTAAATCTCTCTTTGCCGAAGTCCTTTCCCGGTGAAACCTCTTCAACTCGAATTCATCGAAGCCTTTGTCTTATTTCTAGGGACCACGAAAATTGAATAGCAATAACAATGTAGCAGCTTAGTTCTTTTTCAACAGGAAGTGAGTGACATCATTGTCAAACCAATCAATTTTGGTTTTTAAACGAGTTTCAACTTGACAAATTTATTGATCAGCTGGACATTCATGCTCGAATCTCAACTCTTCGGAGGCTAGAATTACGATTAACATCATTAAATCAGTTTGCCTTGTTGGGTGAGGTGACACAAAAACCGGTTTTTTATTTACGCATTCCATGGGGTATTCATTTCGAATTATGCAATTACTGAAGTATAAAAAATGTACTAGATGCTGCATGATCAAGCGTGTGTTTAATCCTATACAATACACAATACAGTAACGTATATTTCCTACATCAAGTATTTTGGAGATAATGAAAAGTCCCTTGGAAAAATAAAGTAAAAATAACTTACTGGCGTAATTGTATGAATTTTATGGAAACAATTTTGACTAATCTGGAGAGGATTTGCTCAGGATTAACCTGTTCATTTTTTTCCTATTTCGCAGACCTAAAATAAGAAGCAATAGTTTCTTTTAATAAACATTTTACAAAATGTTTTTGCGCAGCATCGGGAAATGTAATCTTCGGAATGATTTAAAGTTGAACATAATGATTCACTGATGCTCAAACTGTTTTTAATTTTTTCACAGTAAAAAATCGCAATACTGATTGAAAGCGATTTATTTGATTAATACTTCCTTTAAAATGTTGTCAGCCGCATAATCGTCTCGGTGCAAATTGATTATTATTCATCGTGTTTCGAGTAGCATCTTCGAATATACCGTCAAGTCCTTTAGAAAGAATTAAGTATACAGTACACTATATGATTGCATAAGCATCATTTATACAGTATTGTAATTCCAGAAATATGGTTTTCATTGAGAGAGAAAAATATTGCTGAACTCTTCCTCTGCGTTGGAACTTTTCGATCACTCTGTACTTGCGTTGCTGAATTTACTGATTGTTCATTTATTATTTAGTGTGCGGAGGGTTTTGCAAAATATTCGTTTTGCTCTTCATCTCTGCGGGAATGATTGGCATCGTTTTATGCGTCTTTTGGCTACTCCTGCTCTCGGTTGACGAATGGGTACACAGAAAATCGAACGTGCACAACGATACCGTCATGTCCTTGGCGGAAAATTCCACAGGTTTGAATCCTGGGAAAAATTTTAACCCGAAAGAAAAAAAGCGACGCTTTTTTTTTCAAGTAATGCATGAGTTCCATTTTTGTTACACAGACAGAATTTTGCGGGTGCCGTCCTAATGGATTTCTCTCTGCGGAATCAGTATAAGAAGCTGACATCTGAATGTGTTCCGAGTTTTACCTTTTCAAAAATTTTGAGGAAGACGTCCTTGACGCCAGGGAGTGACACGAAGACCACTTCCGGTTTAAAAAAAAAATGTCCTACCAAGAATGGAAAAGGAGTTCATGAAAACCTGACTATAGCAAACTGATGTGACATCTTTAATTGTATTTGATGACTTTTTGTGTGTACCGTACGCATTATTCCGCGATTATGTTTTGTTTTCTTTTTATGTGTATTTCCGAGAAATGAACGGTTCCTGTTCGCCCCGTTTTGGTCTTTTACTTTATTTTTGCGCGAAAATGATTTAAAACCCAGCAGTTGGTCAAAGGATTCATACTGGTTCTGCCACAATTGAAAAAATAAAAATATCAGGCATGTAAGATCATTTATGTTACTGCACATATATTGTCTGCATGCCACCAATTCAGGGTCAGATGTTTCATTCAGGGTCAGATGTTTCATTCAGGGTCAGATGTTTCATTCAGGGTTCCCAACCCTTCCTTTGTTTTTTATAGTTAATTACAAACAAACATAGGATTTAGGTAGCCTCGTGTTATACTACTTTATAAAGCCCTGAAATGAATTATTGAATTATGAAACCATTGGAGCCCTGAAGTGAATTATGAAACCATTGGAGGCCTGAAATGAATTATGAAAACTATTGGAGCCCTGAAATGAAGTATGAAACCATTGGTAACTATGATGATGGAAGTTCGAGTGTTACTTCGTCTCTCTTGGAACTCTCACACGTCTATGCGAAGTACACGTGAGAATGGTATGTAATGGAGACAGAAATTCGAAGCACACCATAAAAAGCACGTACTGAATTGTCAGCATCCACGAGCCAATATCATCAAAAACGAAGGCTAGACTCCTTTTTTGTTGTGATTTTTCGGTGCGTGTCCTTGAGAGAAAGATTTTTTTAATTTCCAGGAATTTTTGCATAATTAAAAACAAAGAAAAAAACGACAGCAAAACAGGATTCTTCCGTTTATCACAGTGTTGGCAATAGGACACCAGCAGCTGGTGGTTGTGACGGAAAGGGAACTGATGGGACTGGAGAAGATGTGAGGTTGGGAACTAATCCTTCCCTTTCAAGGTATCCCGAAAACAAATAGTGAACGTCAAGGTCGGTTCAAGAGAGTACTAACAGCCCAATGAAGTTTCCTCTAAAAAAGAAGTTACACCGAGTAGGCAGTTGGGTACTACTTCATAAATGCATTACTTGCATCATACAAAGCAAATGACAGCAGCTCTTTTAATTGAAAGGCAAGCATCTTGGGGTTAGTGATTTGGTTTTTGGGATGGTGGATAAAGAATCATTCAACCCTTCTATAGGAACTCTAGGGTATTTTTGCAAAATTTGATGCAAAAACAAATAAAAACCGTGGACCAAAAGGAAGAAAGGTCAAAATCCTTTAAAAGTTTCACCTTTTATTTGTAAAAGAAAAATGCGGGGCAAGAAATATTACCCACCTGGTGGCAATCATTCAACCCTTCTGTAACGGCACCCAGGATATTTTTGCCACATTTAGTGCAAAAACACAAAAAAAAATCACTGACCTAAAGGAAAAACGTTCAAGTCCTTGAGAAATTGCACCTTTTACTGTACAGTATTTGTAAAACAAAGCATTTGCTGGGAAAGAGAATCACTCCCTTGGTGGAAATCATTCAACCCTTCTGTAGAAGAGCCAGGATATTTTTTGCAAAATTTAGTGCAAAAAGACAAATACAAATAATAAACAAAAATGAAGAAAGTCCGCCCTTGAGCATTTGCACCTTTGTAAAAGAAACATTTGCTGGGAAAGAAAAATTACTCACTTGGTGGTTTTGTTTTTTTTATAGGGTTAACGTTTGAAGATTTAAAAAAATGTGGCTTTGTCCAGCACCATCTCAGACTTGGGGTACCCTGCCCACCTTCATTTTGGTGACGATTGGTCTACCCAAAAAATGAGGTAAGTGTAAAAAACAAAATACCTCTGGCAGTCCAGTGTCAATGCTCGAGGATGGAAAATACTGATCTGCTACCATTCAAGGGTTTGTAGAAAAATTTAAGACATTCTTCTAGTCAGAGATGACTTAGACAATAATAAAGGAAATTTCATAAAATCAGGATTTTGTTTAAATCCTGCGATTCGAGCCTATGATGGAATTGATGGCACAGGCTATGCTATGCAGTGTTCCCGCTTAAGGCAAGTGACATCTACCCATGCTGGTGGAAAACCTTTTTAAACCAGCGAAACTGATACAAGTAGATGACAGTAATTCATCTTGGCTCGACTTTCGACTCTCTCAACTCCCCAAGGAATCAGCAGTGAGACTCTTGGAACATGAAATTCGCTTCGTCCTTTCTACATGCTGTATTCAGTGTAAGTTGATCACCAGTTTACTACCGCCTGTCCCTGAATATAGCATGGTCGCAAATACTTCGGAGTGCATCCCAAGTCGGAAACACTCCCTTCCGCTCAGCGACGAGCTCACCCCACCACGACGTCATTCCGGTCGCGACGTCAAGCCGCGCGGTCGCTTGTACTGCATCGCGTGTTCATCTCCCTTTGTCCTCGTTTGTCATTCCACCGTCTTCCTCTTCTCTGTGAGAGCATTTTCTTTATTTTACTCTTTTGCAGATAAAGAGAGAATATAATTAGGAGAGAGGAACGGAAGCAAAGTGACGAGTTTGCTCACGCGCGAGCGCGAATTCTCCATAGCATCCCCCAGCAGACCTGCGCGCCAGTCGAGTTGCCCGAATGGGTTGATTCAGAAGTTCTCGTTTTGTTTGCTACAGTCTTGAGTCTTCTGCTGCTATAAAGTGGATTTGGACTTGCATGTTGCAGGGTAACTCTGCATAATTACTGAAATCTGTTCCAGGAGAATATTTTGTTATCCAGACTCAATGTTAAGCAGGAACCCTTTTTTCAATAGAGTTATACTGTAGAATTTTGTTACTGTACAACAAATCTTGTTATAACAAATAATCATTTGCAAGAGAGTAAATTCTTTGGTCCCTGCCCAATGGCCACAATTTAAAAATTGTTGAAATAGTTTTTTTATAAAACAATTTTCTTACAAAACTTCTATTTTACTGGTCTCAGTGGAAAAGAGGTTTTACTATATCATATTTAGATGAACAACCCCTTGAATGGCTGTAAAGACAGATGCTCAGCTGCCAAGTTGGAGAGTTGTGTTTCCTTGAAGTCAAGGTTTTATGATATGAATCTCAGTTTTTATTATTTTCATTTATTAGTCAAGTGAGGATATGAAAGTCTTTAGTCACAGCATTAGTAGGGATCTTTGTTTTATGTTACGACGACGTAAACAAGACCGTTCTATGTCCATTGTCTTCTGAGGAAACTTAGAACTTTTATGATGACTATCTCGTCGACTTTTAGACTTCTTACAGAAATGCAAGATTGTGTGTCTAATCAAGGTTAGTTGAAATAGTAGAGTAAATGATGCCATTGTGACCAGTGAAATACTGTACTGTACTTTTCATATAATGGAAAATTCGTTGTAAATAAAACCAAACAATACCAGGGCTGTTGGGTGTAGAGATAGAGGAAATTTTATGTAAGGATAAATTATTTGTTTTAAAAATAATTTTCAACATACATTTGAAAGTATGGATGTTTTTGGGGACTGCTGGTGGTTGTTGACCAGATTACTGGTTATCTTAGCAGTTTATTAGACATGATCACAGTTGATCGGGTTCTTGTCCAACAAAAATATAAAATTAACTATGTTTATTAAAAAAATGATGTTTAAGGTGGCCTTGAAGTCAAACTCGGAGCTGGTGGTTTCCCAGCTAGACTAGAAATCATATCAAAAGGCTGATACACTATCGGTTTAACGAATTCAGGAACTACAGCACTACAAAGTTCCTTCAGTCCATTATAACTTTATTTTGAAAGGACTGACAGAACTTTTGAATCATCCCTCGAAGGCGGTTCGAATGCCGCCGGCAAACGGCTGGGTTCCCAGTGTTGCAACGGTTGGGGCAGGGGCGTGGAATTTCCTGGCTTTGTGTTTCCTTCATGTGGCGGCCCTTGAGTGTGAGGGAAGATTCTCCCTTGCTTGTGGACTCGCTCTATCAACAGAGGTGTGATTACGCAATTTAGTGTTTCTTGACAAATGCTACTGGGTCATCTTTCCAATTGAGGTTTAAAAGTGTGTTTGTGCAGATCCTGGTGTCATGTTATTTTGTGTTCAATTTTCATAACTATATATACAAATGTATGTAATGCTTGAATTCCTGCTGAGAGGAAGGGCACAGATTGAGGAGGTGGAAAAATTCATGGAATTACCTTTGTTTAGTTTTCCAAGATACAGAAATTGAACCTCAAAATTTTGAGTGATTAATTTTATCTTCACCTGAGAATGAATACTTCCACCAAAACAGTGCATCAAAAATGTTGCATTCTTTATGTATGTGTATTATTATTTTTATTCAATTTTGTGAGCTTTTCTCTCATGTATTCCCTAAGAATGATTGGCATCAGTCTCACACGAGATACCAAAAGAGCGCATTCTTACCAATTTGTTTCCTGAATATCATTCACATGCTCCATCAGACCATCACACATTAGTTTGTATAGCATAGTGTAAACACATTAGGTTTCATCTCATCTCAAATTGCTTGAAGTCTGAGTACAGTCAACTCCTGCTCAATGGACTTGATCTGAGAACAGACTACTGAGTCTGTTATGCGAAAAGTCTGTTATGCGAATTCAATTATTAAAAATTACAATTATTACTTTTTAGAGTTTTTACCATTAATTTTAAACCAATGGAAGTCTGTTAGGTGGATTTTGTCCATTAGGACAGAGGCAGTCTGTTTGGAAAAAATCCCATAGGCTGCAGGAGGACCATAAGGCAGGGGTTGACTGTATCCTTACAATGTTAGAATCCCTCTCTGGCATTATGATACATTTTCTAACAACAGTAATATACCTTTTTTTTTTTTTTTACCAAAATACTGAGTTTTTGAAGCCAGTATTATGTATTTGGAGAGTGCCTTCACTATCATTTTCAATTGCCATAATATTTCTGAAAGATGGCAGCAATCCGCTTATCTTCATTTTAATGACATTTATTTTTGAAGGATTGGTGGTGTTGGGAATTTTAATTTGTGGAAAACCTCAGTATCAAAAGTCTTTTTAGACTCTGTGAGCCGGAATTTAGGTTTATTTTTATCGAGTAGGACTCATGTGAATCAGGTTTCGTAAAAAGGGGTTTCCTCCGTTATCCCCTGATGGTTCTGTTTGCCTGTGAAATCCCCTTGGATGGCTGAAACTGCTGGATTACCTTTTTTGCAGTAGTTGTGCTGGAATCCTCCGATGAAACGCGGCTTTTTTTGTTGTTGCTATCTTAAATTGTTTTCTGGTTTTAAACAGGGTCACCTCTCGTGTACAAGTGCCGTGTATTGTATCTTCGCGAGTGATATCCTCAAAGTGTCGACGTTTTTTCCCACGACGCCGCAGCTGGCGAATCGCTGAATCACTTGACGTGTATACCGTACTTACTGTGCAAAAAAATCAAGTTAATAAAATTCGGCGTTCGTGTTTTTCTTTCTCTCGCATCCAGTCGTCCCCGACCACGGGTTGGGTTCCATCAGATAACTTTTTTTCGGGTTAATGAGACCGGAGGCCGGGAGGAGACCAGCATGGTGGATGATAACGGGGGCAGTGAACCGAACGCAGCTGTGGAGGACGACGCTGGCGGCGGAAGAGACCAGGAAACGCCTACTTCCAACTCTCCAGGTGACCGAGTGAATGACGAGTATATACTGTAATAGTCAGTTGAATACTCATTTAATGATCACTCATCGAAAGTTGTTCTCTGCTATAAAGTAGCCTTTATAGTTATGTATGGACTGATTCTATCCCACACTGGGGCCGTAAATTCTCCGTCGTTGATTTTCCTTGATGTCTTGTACAGTACTGTACTGTACTTTATTCACGCGCCCGGGCTGCACCCGGATTTTTAACGAAATGGGATTTGATTCGTATTTGCTGAAGGACAAGAACATTGTGAACAATTTTCGGAAAAATGCAGCGTACAAAAAAAGCAGGAACTCCCCTTCGGAAATTCCAAAAGCAAAAGTTTTCAGTCAGAATTGTTACAAAAATCACTGGACCGTGCTTTGGATTTCGTAAAAAAAAAAAAAACTAAGTGGTCCGCACAAGGTTGAAAAACATTATAGAAAAATGGAGTCAGCACGGAAAAAAATAGCTCGGGATTTTCCCTCATTAAACTTTAGAAAATGGGAGTGAGAGACAATTTTCAGTCAAAATATTATGTAAAAATCACGGAAGTATGATCTGATTTGGATTGCTCAAAATAACTGTGATTCTGTGAAGGTCGCAAAAATGTGAAAGATTTTCGAAATAATGCAACCCTTAGGCGAAGAAAACTTATGAATTCATCTTATAAAATTCCTGAAAATAAAAATGTGATAAAAATTTACAATAAAAATGATTTTATTAATGAACTGGACTTTCGCATTATTATGATTCAAGTGGGAAAAGAGTCATTCTATCTACGGCATAATTTTTCTGTTTTCTCATTTTCTCTGCTTATGTGAGAGGAGCGAACATTTTCAGTAATCAACAATGTTATAAAATCACTGGACTGTGATTTGATTTGGATTTCATGAACAAATTGAGAAGGCCGCAAAAAAGGAAAAATATTCTTGGAAAATGCAGTCTGCACTCGGCGCGCAAAAATGCTCCGGAATTTTCCTCATGAAAGTTTACCTATTAGAAGAGATATATACCAGTCAAAATGTCATGAAAATCACACAAGTATGATCTAATTTAGATTTCCTAAAATAACTGAGAAGACCGCGAAAATGCGGCAGATTTTCAAGAAAAAAAAAACACAACCCATAGGCGAAGAAAACTCATGAATTCATCTTATGAATTTTCCTGATAATGGAAATTTGAGGAAATTCAAAGTCAAAAATGGTTTAAATAATAACAGGACTGCTGCATTTCA